TTTTGCCCCCCAAGTCACTCTAACACAAAACACACACACACACACACCTAATTTACACTTGTAGTTTATCTAGTGCAGGTTTTTTAAGCTTCTGACTTGAGAGACTTACCTTGCACACACGGGCAATCCTTGACACCTGGATGTTATGATGATGTTCCTCTACAGCATTCTCAGTGAAGAACAAGAATACACTGTCGTCTCCACCGTCCTCTCGGTTTTTGCTGGTTTCAACGAGGCTTATGGAAATCATGGTAGGCTCTGACACCAAAGCATTGAGGATATGAAACCACAGAGTACAAAGAATTTACAAGGTCTGAAAATGAAAATAACTGATGGGTGTACAATTATGGCCGGAAGAAAACTGACTTCATTCAGAATACAAACTGTCTCATGAAACTACATCCTCTATTGAATAATTTTGTTACTGTACAAGTAGCCACATAAGAGCAGCTTACCATCAAGCCAGGAGCGTTTCACTTCAGTCTTTAGAGGGTCCGGTCCATGTCTCTGAAACACCAGTTCCGTGCCCAAAAAGTTGGAGGAGGCAGCCGAGTAAGGTGTGTTTCCTGTCAAGTGAAAAAGAAACAGTGGTGGGTCATTACAAACTACAAACCAAGCTTTATTTTTTTTTCTGACCCTCAACTTCTTACAGCCAGATGTATATCTAAGGATAAAGGCCATGACCAAAAAAAAGAGATAAAGTGCGATAAAGAAATCTGTAAGCAGTTGAGTACTCACCATCCATAATGGAAGCAAAGCGTTGGTAGGGGTCAAAAGGAATTTTACCCCTACCCACCTGCGTCTCTCCTTCTAAAGAGATGCTTCCATTTGTGAAAGTCTGTTCAAGACATTAAAGTTTTTGAGCCTGAATTCATCCATCAACCTATTCTTTTAAATTAAAACTTCTCAGGAAATACGCCTTTTCACTTTGTTGCCGAGTTACAGTACATAAGAAGATACTGTAGAGCCCTTTCTCCTGTGTGTACAATAAATACTGTAAAATGCTAGAGCCAGCAGATGGTTAGCTTATCTTAGCACAAAGAAACAGGGGTAACAGCTAACCTACTGTAACTCTCAGCAAGAAAGCTGAGACTAATTATTGAAACGTGCATTACACAACACAGCAGCTGTCTACAGAAGTACACCTACAGTATTTGGTGTCTTGGGAAACTTTCTATAAAGCTACTTACCATGTAGTCACATGCAGGGTTGAAAGCGTTTGTCCCGCACACTAGCATTTTACCGTCCTCCGTTGTGTGTAGAGTCCGGATGAAGTTGTCACACTCCTGTTGGAAGAACAGAAGCGATTAAAATGAATGAAACCTTCTGTAGGCTGTGTTGGATGGTAAAAACCTTCCCAACTGCTGATGCCATTCACTAATAATCCACTTCTTACTTCACCTTAGTGTCCTTGCCCTTCATTTGACAGAGGGTTTTCTCTGCTGGACTGACCGTCCAATTGGCCTGGAAGAAAAGAGAATTAGCAATGACCAAGGAGGTATTGTGTTTATAGTATAAGTGAAATATAAAGGATTGCTCTGGCTGATAGCATAATAGTTCTGACAGCTATTTTTTAATGACACTGAACCCTTTGTATTTTAACAGGTTGTTTACTGAAATGTCTTTGTTTTGTCTACAATGCATGTTTCTTTACTTTTTATATTCACAATGCCCTTTCTCAATTAAATCTAGGGTCAAGAGGACAGAGGATGTTGTACGCTGTACAGATTGTAAAGCCTCTTGAGCCAAATTGTGATTTGTGATATTGGGCTATATAAATAAAACTGACTTGACCTGTCTACAGTACCGCATCACAGTCAGTCTTACCTCACTGGTCTTTTTGGTGATATCATCCAAGCTGAGGGCGAGCACCTTCCCTCTGGCGCCCACGATAAGCTGGCCGATATCGTCTCTTACCATCAAAGAGCTCAAACTGTCAAAGCCAGACTCCTTGAACTGTTTTAAGTTCATGTCTAAGCCAGACAAAAGGAGTATTAGCTGGAGGTAACTTTTCAAACCCCTGTATTTTAATACAGCTCACTTGTTGATTTGTTTCCCACTGTATAGCCTATAATTTTTTTTATTATTTCTGATAGTATTGCCTGTACAGATTATACACAGCTAACTGTTAGAATATACTCATTTCAGCTGTGACGCTCCCTTCAAAGTGCCATGTAATCACATCTACATTAGAAGTCTTACCTTGGAAGGAAACACTCCTGCGGGGTTTGTTGCTTGCTGGATAGCCTTCAGTCATGATAAAGAGGAAACAAAAGAGCACCACAGGTCTCATGTGTGCCATAGGATTGTAGATCAGGAAAAACCATAGACTGTAGGGACAAACACACCACTTTAGACCACATTTGGCTGAAAGGCTCAGATCTTCACCAGCATGCATCACATTAACTAAGGACAACAGCAATGATTTCTCCTCACAGTGACTCAGTGTCTCCGTCTTAGTTTTATTCTCTTTTATTTCTTACCTGTTTTCTGCGAAAACAAACATGTAGATAACTTGTTGTTAAGCAGTTATTGTTTTTGTTTTCTCGCCGTTTTGGTCCGCTGTAGCCCCACAGCTCACTAACGTTAACCTGTGGTGTTTCAAATCCACAAGAATCTGGGCCGAACGCGCGCGCCGAACTCTGTAGGATTCTGTTCAGAACATAATTACCCAATGACGTTTTGCGTCAGCTGTTTAGGATAGAAGCCTGCGGGGTTATCGGCCTGCAGTGTGCACGTAAACAAGAACACGGCTTTCTTTGGTCTTCTGCAGACATGATGATCATCAAAAAAAATTATAAATGATCCATTACCAAACCACGTTTGTCACCTGAAATAATGTTTAAAACATCGGCGCAGCGGGAGTGGCACCGAGTCTCCAGCCCTGAAAGTGTTCTCAAATGCACCGAATGTTTACGGTTTTAAAATAACGTCCCCTTTCTTTCATTTTAAGTCAGTCTCTCTGACTGGGCACCTGGCAAATCAATGGAGCAAACGTTCCTTTTACTGGGGGAATATCGACATCTATAGCCCTAACATTGCCACCTGGGGTTTGTGTATATTTTTCATTCACTAGTGTCAGTGCTAGCTAGCTAACCAACATGTGGACTATGGAAATTACGTCTTTCAGGAGAAGTGAACCTCGGTAGCAGCATCCGCCAGTGAACCGCAGACAGATGGTGCTTCAGGTGTGTGAATCTGCGTCAGTAGCCTCGTAGGCTAGTAGCTAGATAAGTTAACATTAGCTTGTGTCTATTGAATATCGCGTGACTGATGATGTGATGATTTCTGTAAGTTATTTAAGGTTAGGTGTTTATTATCCCCTGAACACAAGAGTCTTATACAGGGAGTAATGTTAAATAAGAACAAGTTAAAGTGATAGAAACACTAGACTGATCATATTTTAAAAGGTATTACTAGAAAAGCATTGCAAGTAACGATACTGCAAGTATCTTAACGTTAAACCTGTATGACATTGTAGCCTTCATGTACAATAAAACCAAGTTACTATGTTTTAGATACAAGAAATTGTTTGTCAAAGTTTTTATTGAGTAAAGAATAATAGTGTTTTTTTTTTAATCCTAGGCTTTTTTGAGGACCCTTTCCATGTTAGGGCCTTGGGAACTAGTTTTTAATTCATTTGAATTATAAAGATTAACTTTACAGCAATTAATCCCAGTTTGTCCCTTTCCTCTGTAGCACAGTTTGGCTGCCATTACAACCTCAAACCACTAGAGGGAGACCTTCAACTCTGAATTCCACAAGAGACGCTATTGCAAGAGTCCAAACACAGACTGTTTTGGGCAATGTTTTGTTTTAGTTTTTCAAGATCATGATGTAACGCACCTCATCACTACCACAATTAGGCATAAATGCTGTGAGTGTGTCTTCTTGTGGGAAGAGGCGAAAGGAACATTCACTATATGATTCTGAGAGACAAACCTTGCGTTTACTTAAACTACATTTTCCACAGATACATTAGATCTTTTGAGTACCTTCATGCTTAAAATGTCACACTAATGAAAAACAAACAAGTAGTTACAATGTACCTCACATAATCGACATGGTAATTGAAATCAGTTTATTTTAAGATCAATTAAGAAGGTTTATTTAATATATCATGAAACATATGGTGAACAGTTGGGCAAATCCAGTACTTCTTGTATCGACAGTGTGAGAGGTTTAGTCTGTGATTTTACTTTAAATTCCTCCTGTGGCCCCAATGAGGAACTTTCCTCCATATATGTGTGAATTGAAAGAGACAATATAAAAAATCCAAACCCCTAAAATTCAACTTAATGTCAGTTGGATTTTAAGCACAAAAAACACAGCCAAGGACTTTAACAAGAATATAACATTTCTGAGATAGTAGGCCTGTACCAATTTGGACTTTATTCTTAGAAAATGAGAATTACTCAAGACATGTTAACAGTGTGTGATACCCAAAATTCGATTATCTTTAAAAGTCAGATGTTTCTGATTTAATTTACAGTAGGCCTATTTGCATCTTAGCTTTTTTAAATTTAATTTTTGAAGCTGCCACACATTTTATTCGATTTTTTTTTTTTTGCTTTCAGGAAACGCTTGGTGCCACGTACGTAATTTACTGTGAATTTACCTATACAGTCCATGGAATCTTTCCCTCCAATGTGTGGCTGAAGTTCATGTACAACAGGCCACGCCCCTTTGTACATGTGAAGCCCATTGCCCCGCCCCCTCGCGCAAGCACCGGTATAATTTATGGGCGTTGATTTCCGGTATTTAGCGTCTGGAATTTCAGGTTCCAAAGAGTGTGTGTTATGTCTGGATGTTGTATGTATGTGTGTGCGTGAGTGTGCGTGCGTGCGTGCGTGCGTGCGTGCGTGAGTGAGTGAGTAAGTGTGCGTGTGTGTGTGTGAGAGGGTTTCCCAGCTCGGATACTGTCACCACCTTGCACCGCAGGCAGTCTCCGTGTTCCTACATGCAAGTTACCGCCGCGGCTCCACAATCGTTGGCCAGCAATGACTGAAAGCCCCGCGACAAAGCCAGCCAACGGGGACGTGTGTCAGCGGGCGAAGAACGGACTGAAACCGGAGAGAAACGGCTTGGCGAGGAGCCTCCACCGCTGCCATGAGCGGCAGCCCAAGCACCACTGCCACCCCGAGGAGGAAGAGGAGGAGGTGAGGCCCGGGATGGGACGGGGAGGAGAGGCTAGGGAAGCATCTAACGTTACTCTGTGGACCCGGAAACACCCGGACGATGCTGTGGTCATTGTCATTTTCATTAACTTCTGCAATATCAGGATATGATGCGATAACCGCTTTTAATGTATCAATCGAGTCCTGCTGCTGACAGTTTGTTGTCATCGAGACCCGATTCTCTCGATCACGCCAAACTCCTTAAACGATATGCTAATATAAAGAGTTTTCACTCATTCTTAGTGGTATATAATCGCTCAAAACATGACTCAAAAGCTTTCTCTGAATCATTATGAGACCTTCTTTAATTCGGCACAATCATATTTGCACCAAGCAGCACATGAATTCATTAACATCTCAACTTTATGAATGGGTTTATACTGCGCTCCCCTCAGTCGTTCAGACTAACGTATAGTATAGATAAGGAGATTGTTTAAAAAAGGCGGGCGTGACATCTCTGAAAGTTGACATTGCATTGAATACAAATACTGTTTAGTGCATAATATGTTTGCCGAATTTAAGAAGAGATCTAGCTGTAGTCCCAGTTTGTGAATTTGTTTGGAACCACACGCTGCCAATAGTAGGCTATTGCTCCTAACAGTTTGCTGTGTAAACGCAGTGTATTGACACCTAATGCCTGCTGTGCTGTCCCATGAGTGCACCCTTTTGTAGCTGTCCCAATTAACTGGTCACCTGTGTGTGTTGTGATAGGCTACAGAGTTTTTTTTTATTGATTTGAGGCAGAATGTTGCACTGCTGATCAAAATGAAAAGCAAACTGCATTGCATGACATTTTTTAAAATTCTGTCCTGACTGCAGAGTTTGTGTGTGTGTGTGGGATTTGTGACTTTTGCTTGGATTTGTGACTTTCTCAGAGCAATTTGGTTGAACATCACATGATTCTAATAACTGACATCTTACTCAGTTGGGAAATCACTGGCAAAAGCAAATTCTTCAAAATCAATTCCAGTATGAGACTCTGAAGGTAAATGAGGGCAGAAACACACCGCTGACAGGTAATTCTCATCACCAGACATTGTCTTACTGTAGAAACAGCCAGTTCGCTCTGCTGATGTTTCAATAAACTGGGTTGGGTTTGCTGAAAAACTGAGCGCCTGGTGATTGAACCTCAGCTGATGTCAGCGTTGCTGCTCTGTAAGGTATCTGAGAGAGAGAGAGAGAGGCATGACCGGTCACATGTGGTGCCTAATAGCTATTAGCACAGAGACGAGCGTGATGGAAAGGCAAACTGTGGGTTTCTGTCTAACCACTTTTCACAATGGAGAAAATATGTGAGGTTGAATTGTCTTCACGAAAGACTGTTTACATGCCAAGTTTATTATTGAATAGTAGATCACTCTGCTCCAAGTGCACAGATTTACATCAACACAACCAGCGCATCCCTTATTTGGAAGTCAAATCTTCCTTCCCTGGCCGTTTTGTCCCACACTGTTTTCTTTCCTTCCAGCTGAACTGGTGCTTATCTTCCTCCTCCTTATTATTTGGCTGCACACAAGTCACCTTTAAGAGAGTTACAGAAAGCTCAGCTACCTTTACCAAAACATAAACTGTGTTTGTTTTTTTTTCTCATTGGGACAAAAAGAGAGGGAGTTAGAGGAAGTCAGACTGTACATTTCTGTAAAGAATGTGAAACTGTATTCCAGCTAATGTATTAGTTGCGCAAAATGTGTTTCCGTATGAGTAGTAAAAGAAGTTTTTCTTTTTTAGAGGCTAGATTATATACACGGAGATAATGTTCACTGCTATGTTTAACAATGGTTCTGTATTTATGCCTATATTAGCTACGTCCACATGAAACTGTCCTATTTACATAACCAGCAAACAGAATATAGATGCCAGAATATATCATGTAAGCTAAGGCTCCAAGTACTAATTGTCTTTTTCCTAATAATTAATTAACAATTAATTAATTAGAATTTTTTTTTTAGAAACAGAGACTTAAAAAATTATGTCAAGATTATCTAAAACTGGCATATTCCAGCCAGAACATTAGTTTTTACCATTTCGTGTCAGTTATGTTTACATAACATGTAAACAGCATATTGTAATAGCCCAGATATAAAGAATTAGTAATTAAGAAACACTGTTATTTTTTTAAATATCTGTGGATTGTAGATCCCATAACACCAGTGCAATCTGCATAAGGAAAAATATATAATATAAAAATATCATTAAGGGCTATTACAAATCTACAGTACTGACTTAAACACCCCAAACAAAAGATTAAATTATCCTCTCTGAATTACCATATTTTATTGGGTAACAACCATAGTGTGTGGGTTTTTTTTCTTTCACAATTCAGTTTCAGTACAGTAGAATTTCTGGTTTCCATGTTGCCCAGGTCCATGCAGCAACACATCATGGCAGCCTGTACAGCAGGCCCTTCATCGAGTCTTTCGAGGAGACGCCCATGCTGGTGGCAGTGCTCACCTACATGGGCTACGGCATCCTGACCATCTTCGGCTACCTCCGCGACTTTCTCCGTCACTGGAAGATCGAGAGGTACCACATCGCCAGGGAGAGGGAGGAGCAAAAGGTGAGAGGAGCCACTGGCGCAGTGTGGTGGTGGGATTCGTCACCTAGGTCTGAAAAAAGATACGCAAAAAAACGCAGGAATGAGTATATGCAAGTCATGAGGCAAGTCTGGAAAAGAGGTCACTCATTTGAACAAGTTTGGATTTGTCAGTTAACAAACCTGACTATGACCGTGGCAGTGTTCTTTTCACACGCCTGTTTTCTTGTAAACTGGCAGTTGAGCAACATGCTGTTGTGATTTACAACAGCAGTATGCTGCAGTCAGCACATTTTGGCTGTACTACAATGACTGTAAGGCTCGGATTTTTTTTGTTTGCAAACTGACAGTGCCGTCAGCAAGATAGCTGTCAAGGAAAAGAGGGCCATATGCGTTCCAGGTGTTGAATGGAACTGATTTGACTGAGCTCTAATAACATGTTGACAGGCAGGCGAACGTTTGCCTCATTCATGTAGAAATAATAGTGATAAAAAATGGAAAAAGAGATCTGTATGTTTTCTTAACCAGAATGATATTTCCACAGAGTCTCCCAACACTCAAAGCTATAAGCTCTCGTATTTCAAACATTTCAAGTAGCATTGCCTCAAAGAAACGAAGAAAGGAAGTTTACATTTAGCAAGCCATGACCTTATTAACCATAATGATATCCCAAACAGGAAACATTTGCAAGAAAGGTGTTTGTGTATATGCAGAAACGCTTAGAAGTTCAGAAAGAATTTAGTGTGCCTCATTTACCAACCGCAAACTAACTCACTGAGGCTAATATAACATTTGAAATATTTATTGCTTTTCTTCACAAGCCAGTGCAATGTGCTCCTAAGATAGTGGGGGGGGTTTGTGTGTCAACACATACCAAATGGTGGAGTTATCAGCACATTTGGAACATGTCCTTGACCACTGAGATTGTTTTTGACCTGTTATGTAACGTTTGATAGGGAGGCCCATTGTTTTTAAATATTTGGTTTTGTTGTGGAAAGGAAGCCAGTGGGATAGATGCAGGGAAGCCAATAAATCACCCCAAGGCTATCTCACGGATGTTTCCTCCAAGAGACCAAGGAATTCAAACCCCCTGGTTCATGTTTACATGTTGAAGATTATATTTTTACAGAATTCCTACCAGCTAAGCTCTCCAAATGTATGAATGGCTCGTAGTTATTTGAAATAGCTCCTACATGCTCAGGTAATGCAACCCCTCTCTACTCCTCTTATTTTGTTCTCTTTATTCGTCCATGTGTAGGACTTTGTGCCCCTCTACCAGGATTTTGAGAACTTTTACACCAGAAATCTCTACATGCGTATAAGAGACAACTGGAACAGGCCCATATGCAGCGTCCCGGGGGCCAAAATGGACCTGATGGAACGAGCCTCCCATGACTACAACTGGACTTTTGAGTGAGAAAAACCTGTTTATTTAAGACTGTTAACCTGGTGTTTTATGAATTAACCTCAAGGTATTCAGACACGTGGGGCAGAGCAGGAGGCCTCGATGGGACATTAGCAAAGGGAAGTGTGCTGTATGGTTAATGCCCCCAGGCGAGGATTAGTACTAAGTGTGCTAACACTGTCGATCTCCTACAAACACCAAGACACATGACACATTTCACTTTAGACAAAAGACAGGGGAATGTTATCAGTCTGCACCTGCTAGCTGGCCAGAGGTGACCACTGACAATTTCATGTTAAGTTGTGTAAAAGCCGAAACTGGCTCTACCTGCAGTCATTAGTAGTCACTGAAGGGAATTTGGTCTCTGTGTGTCCATGGAAAAACCTGTGCTCATTTAGAAATTTAAAGTAGACCTGCAAGCAGTATTAACGGGGTCCAAGCCCCCAGGTGCGTGTTGTACCTGGCGGCCCGCAAAGGTGATGCAAGTCGGACCTGCAGTCCCAGGTGGAGAGCCGGGCCCTGTTGCAGAAAGCTTTCAGAAACGGGGCCCTGCACAGAGATTGGAACACATTCAGTTCAAAACAGTATTTTGGAAAAAAATATTTTATACTTGCTTAATACTAATTTTAGCTTATTCCATGATTTTTCAGCAAGCAGTGGCCCAAGATTCTTGTTAATCAGACCAATGTGGAGCTCTGCGACTAATGTGGCACCAATTGACCACTAGGTGGTGCTCTTGTTGAAAATTCATGAAATATGCAAAGATCATTTTTGTAAACTACTGTTAAATTGACATTTGTGGTATAGAACGGTGCACACAAGGCAGATGCCAGAAATTACACGTCCACCTGCAGATGGCTCTATAATCAAAGGAATGTGCATTTTGGCCAGTAACTCCCACATGAAACCTTCAAACACCTTACATGGATGTGTTCCCTGAATTGAGTTGCATCTTGTGATATAGGCCGTGCCTTTTTTTGCTATGTTTTCGCAAAATGTGCGAAACGTAAGTTTTCGAAGTCCTAGTAGGTGATGAGTCTGATCTGCACGGAACTGTGCACATAGACTCTATGGACCCTAATGATCAAAAGTTATTAAAGGAGACCTATTATGCTTTTCTACATGTTATGACTTATCTACAATGTTATAATGTTGGATGTTGATGTTAAACATGGCCAAACTTTTAAAAAAAATGAGGTTAAAGCATTTATAAGAAATCACTGTGAGCAAAAACCTCAGGTTTCCTCCTCTTCTGAACGCTCTGCTTTTTCTACCAACGGCTCCGTTCTCGGTGATACCGAGTTCCATATATAGTCATGTACTCATGTACTCCCACACTAACGGCACTGTGACGCTCAGTCTGCCTGTTCCGCCCAGCAACAACAGCCTGGTAACATGCTTCAGAGTGGGGGGCCTTAAAGTGACAGGAGCATCTACAGCTTGTTCAGACCATAGACTGTATATAAGAAATGGACGTAGTCATCATGACGTCACCCGTTGGTTTGTGGACTGCCATTTTGAAGCCTCGAGTTTGGCCGATTAGGCGCCGCCATGTCGACTTTTTGCAACCAGGAAGTGCCCAGAAGTGATGATACTGGCGAAGCTAATGGCCGTGTGCGCGCTAACTTGCTTAGCTAGGTGCAACTGTAACTCACGTTAACTGTCATTTTAACAGGGCTGAAGTTTGTCTAGCGAACAACAGTCTTAAAACTAAATGTACTCACCAGAGAAAGTGAACAGCCAACTCCTAATAAGCTTTTTCAACGGCGCTGATTAAATTTACACAGTGCCGAGGGTACGAGTCGGCTCTAGCCTGATTGACAGGTCGCCATGGTAACGACTTGTCAATCATAGATAATCCCGGCCTGAAACAAACTTATGGTGTAAGAAATGCAAAACTGTTAGGAAAATCTTTACCAAAGAACGACAGAGTCACTGGAGTCTCAATGCAAGGAGTCAATACATGCACTGCAATGAATACAGAATTGACTGACAACAAAAGCTTGATAGTCTGCTTTTAAACAACTGGTGACACCGATTTGTTGTTTTTTTCCAGGGTGTAACAAATGCAAGTCACATATTGTCTAACAGCAAAAATCACAGGGAACCAGATCTCATCAGTGTAGATTCTAACTGCAAATGTAGCAAATGCGATACAAATGTAGCCTAATTGTGATACATAGCATTTGTCATCTTGACTCCTCGCTGGTGTTTGGGAGGACAGCTGCAGTGGAGGTGTTCAGCGAAGGGGGCAGTGAGGTGTGTGAAGTCACACATCCCACACTGCAACAAAGAGAGCAGAGGGCAAAAAGAAAGAACATTGGGTACCAGTGAGAGACTGGGAGGTCCACTCCATGTGGCAGATACCACTCGAGATTGGAAAGATAAAAAACAAAAGTATTTCTTGCTCTCCAGCCTTTCAGTCCACTCCACTTCAATCGAACCGTACCAGTAAGCTTGTAAAAAATGTTAGCTTCCTCTCATTGATTGTTTCTTCTGTCTGATTGTCTTCTTCTCTCTTCCTTGCAGGTACACAGGCCGGGTAGTGCAGGATGTGATTAACTTGGGTTCCTATAATTACCTTGGCTTCGCTGAGAACACAGGTCCATGTGCTGACTCGGCAGCCGAGGTCACCATGAAGTATGGCGTCGGCGTTGCAAGCACCAGACAGGAGATTGGTACAAACACAGGCCAAAATACAGACACACCCGATATATTTGCTATCACTGGAACTTAACAGTAGGAATTTGCAGGGATGAATTCACAGTGCTGTAGTGTTGGCTCCATAAGAGATGCGAGTTGTAAATCTAATACATAGATGCATATACAATAGGATACAGTACAGTAGAAGACATCTATAATCTAGACTGAGAGACACCTTGACTCCCTGATTGTCTAGCTCACGGATGTTTTGATGATTTAGGTGCTTTGAAAGATTACAGGTGTCTGTCATTATTTAGCTACAGAAGCAGTAACTTAAAGGAATAGTTCAACACTTTGGGAACTTGTTAGATGAGAAGTGCTAAAGGAGAGGATCGATACCACACACATGTCTGTATGCTAAATATTAAAATGCAGCTGCTTAGCTTAGCATAAGCAGGAGGAACCAGGCAGCTTGGCTTTGTCTGTAAAAAGACATCTGCCTATTAGCACTGGTTAGATCACTATTTAACACATACTGTTTGTTTAATCCATACAAAAACTGAAGTGTAAAAACAAAACTGGCCCTGCCAACCTTAAAGCGACAAGAAAACTTCAGGATGTCACTGCACCCGCCAAAGAAATAGTTTAGCACCTACCCTTTTTAAAACCACAACTTGTCGTTTTTACATACAGTTTTTGTACAAACGAGATACAATATGTTAATTGGTGAGCTTTGCAAGTGTTTGTTGGCGTTTTTGAACTTTGGCAGAGCCAGGCTAGCTGTTTCCCTCTGCTTCTAGTCTTTTTGCTAAGCTAAGCTAACCATCTCCTGTAGCTTAATTTTGAATGGACAGTCCTCTCAGAATTCTCAGCAAGAAAGCAAATGAGCATATTTCCTTAAGTCGACCTGCTCCTTTAACTTTTACCAAGAGATCTCTATTTGCATAAATCTTTAAGGTTCTGATTGGCGTCTGTTTATGGTGATCTGCTATGTGTCTGCATCTTAGGTAACCTGGACAGACATGAGGAGATGGAGAAACTGGTGGCTAAGTTCCTGGGTGTGGAGTCAGCCATGGCATTCGGGATGGGTTTTGCAACCAACTCCATGAACATACCAGCACTGGTAGGCAAGGTAAGACCTCAGGTGATAGATGTTTACTTGCAGGAGCTATGATTTATTCTTGCTGCACACTTTTCCCTCTGTTTTCTATCTCCCCTCTTTGGCTTGCTATTTGTTTCCTTTATGTTGTCATAGCACTTGCCTTCCTCAATGTCCCCTCTCTCCGTCTGTATTCTGTCTCACTGTCACTCACTCTTGTTTGTATTAGTGTATACACTCATGTATTTGAGAAGTAGGATAATTTTCTCAACAACGAATCCTTAAGTTCATCAGAAAAAAGTGAAATTCAAAATCACCAAATTTGGAGATACAGAAGGGTGTGAAAAAGTGTAATCTGAAAAGTAACTAGTAACTAAAGCTGTCAGACATATGTAGTGGCGTAAAAAGAACAATGTTTGCCGCTGAGATGTAGTGGAGTAGAAGTATATTGTTGCGCAAAATGGAAATACTTGAAGTACAAATACCTTGATTTTTTTCACTTAAGTACAATACTTGATTGAATGTACTTAATTACATTTCGCCACATAAAGCAGCTTTCACAGTGTTATTGTCTCAGCACAGATAATCACATAGAAACATCAAATGATACACCACCCAGTCACCAGGCCCACCAACCAGCAAAAATCAGATGTATGAATCTTGCATATTAAAGTTGGTCTGGTGTCCTGCAGGGCTGTCTGATTCTGAGTGATGAACTGAACCATGCCTCTCTGGTCTTGGGAGCCAGACTCTCCGGGTCCACCATCAGAGTCTTCAAACACAACAGTGAGTCTGTGATCACAAATGGGTTCTCCTGTATGTCTCCTGCATTGCATCTGCATTTATAGGTCCGTTCTATTTTTCTTTCCTGCATCCTTGTGTCTATTCCTGTTTGTCACCCCAGTTTAAGTGTTTGCCCATATCTTTCTCTCTAAGTCTCTAGCTTTTATTACTTTTATAGTCCCATTCTGTATTATTGCTGTACTACAGCAATAATGTGTTTACACGTATCCTTCCATATGCTGCATGGAAGGAAGACATACATTACAATGCATACATACGCTATTGGGGAGTTAGCTCTGCCTTCTATCTCTCGGTGTAAGTCTTGTACTGTACTTTGAGTATTTTGAAGCAGATAGTTGTTTCTTTTTAGAAAAATAAAATGAATTATGGCTTAAATTGTTTACGCGGGCTCACTTGTCACACTGTCATGAATAACGTTTTGTTAATGTTACTAGTAACAAGTGTTGGGCAAGTTACTCTGAAATTATAATAGCTTAAAAGTTACTTATTACTCCTTAAAAAATTAATAATATTATGCATCACTGGCTGTAGCGGCCGGAGTGTCTTTCTACAAGTTTCACATCGCTGTGCTGCTTTAGCAGATGCTTCAATAAATCAGATGTAGAATGGTTCGCAGTTGAAAGCTTTTTGCTGGCTGCAAAGGACCACAAAGTTCTTTGCATATTAGACTGTGACACAATAGTGGCACAACTTACAGCTGTTGAAAGAACACCTCTCCCTTTCCATTCTTCCTTTAGCTTTTGATATCAAGGATGATGCATTCAGTAACGCAGTGGTACTTGGATTAGTAACTTTAATATTATTACTGTTTTTGAAATATTAATCCCTTATACAAATAGTTACTGGAAAAAGTAATAATATTACAGTAACTCATTACTGGCAAACACTGTTAGTGACACCTGTGCTTTTCCTGATATAAGTCAAATTGTCATTGAGCTCTATATTCTTTCTGTAACACAAACGTCATTATATTCGCACCAAACAATTATTTAAATTAAATTGACATGAATTATAACTTATAATTTGTGTGTGTGATTAGTTGTTAAACATTACTAGCGACTTATTTTTATAACTGTTGGGCTAACTAGCCGCAGCGTGGCTCTGCAGCTACACCTACATAAAAGCATTTTTATCAGAGAATCTTGTTGGATTAGTTGATATTATAATTTAGTGAATAATCAAGCTGAGTCAGCTTCTGTAATATAATTATTCGGATGCCGTTACTTTTTTCTGTGTAATTAGCATCTAATAATTACAACCAACCTTTCACATCTAGTTAGCTACAAGCTAACTACCCCAAACTCCTCAGCTTGCTTAGAACCAGTTGCTTGTCTGTTTCTACTGCTATGTCTGTATACTAACTTGTTACCCTGTCAGCTATAGCCACAAACAAACAAAATACACAAGTTCATTTCACAAGTGTGGGGTGGGGGGGGAGTGATTGGTTAATTTTTTTTTCTTACTAAAATACAAGGTCCCTGAACAGTTGAAATACAACTAATGTGCTAAGAACAAGAGCAACTTTATTGAAGAATCTGCTACTCAGTATTGAGGGGTTTGTTCAAACTTTGTTTGGGGGTATATTGAAACTGTGTAGGTGAGTGTGAATTTCCAACAAGTGGTTTTCTGCAACTGCTATTTTGCCACCACAACTTTCATTTTGAATGTAACACTCTCACACTGTTTTTCTTGTCAGACATGCAGAACCTTGAGAAACTGCTGAGAGAAGCCATAGTTCATGGGCAGCCCAGGACTCACAGACCATGGAAGAAGATCCTCATAGTGGTAGAGGGCATTTATAGGTAGCTTATTCATTTTCTTTGTAAGATAGACTTTTTAAGTAAAACCTTTTATTACACTATAAGGCATTTTAAATTTTGTTGTACTGTATCTCTTTATTCTTTATATTTTTTTTCTCAGCTTTGTGTTTTGCGGTTATTCAAATGGTAACTTGATGTGTTGGTGGAGAGCACATCAAAATAAGTGTTATCAGTGCTATCAGAGAATGAGTTCAAGGGCAGAGACAACAATGTTTTACAGATAACCATGTTAAAATTGTTATTGGCCAAAAACAGGGGAACAATGTGAGTTTCCCATTTTAAACTCCCCATGATTTCCTTCCTAGTTTTAACAAGAACACTGCCTAACTTAATTGCACAAACAATAGTTTTATTTTGCACATTAGTCAACTGATTTTGGCTGTAAGTTCTATACCGAGCAAAACACTGAAATTCAATCTAATTATTAACTTTTTTTAAAGCTAGTTCTCTGTATTAGCTTAAAGAGGTGGTATTATGCTTTGAGTTATATACCCTTTTTGTGCATGTAATAGGTTTGCAAAGTGAAAAAGACCAAAGGGAGTTCCCATCTCCCACAGAGAACTCTGCTCTGAACTACCTGAAAACTGCTCGTTTGTAGTCCAGTTGCTTCCCTTTCATCCTTGTGACGACACAGGGAAGAAAGCTGAAATGCGCCCCATATAACACTTGCCAAGCAGCTACTCCGTCACGCCCTCAAAAACACTGAGATGCAGCACACCCCTCCTCTCCCTTCCAAACACTAGCTACCCTCCAGGCAGTTAATGGACATAAAGTTGTTACTGTGGTGTAGAGACAGAGCTCAGTTATAACTTTATGGATGAAAGATACATTTGCTACAGATTAATAACTCGCCACTCTGAAACTCTGGCTCCAGTCCATGTTGCCAAGCTGGTCGGCAACATGTAGCCTATAGCTGAAATAATAATAATAATTATTATTATTATTATTAATAGTAATTTAGGGACAAGATGTATCACTCCATAGCTAAAACGAAGCCTTCAACACAAGGTGAAAAGAGGAGCTGCAGCAAAATAAGATTTTGAACCTGAAAATTAGCATAATACCACCCCTTTAATAATCAGGCAAAGCAATGCAAGTCAGTTGAAGTCTTACACAAATGCATGCAAAAACCAGGCTCCCAGAAAAAGTACTTATCGATGGTTCATATGGTTTCATTGGGTTCAGCAGTATCAACCCTCTTTAGCTCTTATTGGTTGAACACACAGTGAGCAACTTTGATGGGTTACCTGATGCTGCCAGAGGGTGAAGCTGCACTATACAGTAATCTGCAGCTTCAAGATATAAGCAAACCATGTGCTTTTGTTTGGTGCTCTGGTATATTCTTAAATTAGTTACCGTACCCATATTTGTTAACATATTTGAGATGTCCACTGTTATTCAGATAAAGTCTGTTCAGTAGTTGACAGGTCCCAGCAGTTTTTAAACCTGAGTGGGGAACACTGAACGCATCAGGACATTTTGCTTGAAACTGGCTATAACACCTCCTACATTGCCTTTTCCTCCCTGCAGCATGGAGGGCAGTACAGTGCGTCTGCCGGAAGTGATTGCCCTGAAGAAGCGCTACCGGGCCTACCTTTACCTAGACGAGGCCCACAGCATAGGGGCCCTGGGGCCGAGAGGGAGAGGTGTGGTCGATTACTTTGGCCTCGACCCCTGTGATGTGGATGTCATGATGGGCACTTTTACCAAGAGCTTTGGCGCTGCAGGGGGATACATTGCAGGGAAAAGGGTGAGGATGGAGGATTGTTTTACCATATCACTGGATTTATTTTATTGCCGTTTTGTTTGTTTTGGAAGGCTGAGGTATAAAGAAAGATGTACACCTAATTCATACCAGCTGCAGCATAGAAGAACTATCAATAGAAGGACATCAATGTGATGACTTCAATTTATAAAAGCTAAATGCTAGATTCACCAAAATCAGTAGTCTAGGGATGTGTCATCAAGTCACAGGGTCTACCTTACAGTGAAGTGTTAACCTGCATGTCTTTCAAACATTGTAACTAAACAGTAATTGATGGATGGTAGTTTTAATTAGTTTTTACTACGTTTTTTTTTCTCAACTTCATAAAAGGCACTTTGCATTGGATGTCAGAGCCTATTATATTTTTTACAATATGTGCAAAACTGTAAAATTTTAATAATTATGTAAATGTAGTAAGTAATGGGCATGGTTTTATTCTCACAGTAAATCTAAAGTAAAGTCCCAAACACTCAATGGTTGTAGGGACTGTAGAGAAATTAAAGCTTTTCATGCATATCTACTTACACCTTCTGTGTATCTGCTGGGTTTAGGAGCTTATTGAGTACCTGCGCTCCCATTCCCACAGTGCGGTCTACGCCACCTCCATGTCTCCTCCTGTGGTGGAGCAAATCATCACTTCTATGAAGTGCATTATGGGAGAGGATGGCTCCACGATCGGTGAGTGGTACAACAATATTAAAAGGTACCATGTGGAGTTTTTGACCTGTGGCCTGTACTATGAAGCGGGGTAACTGGCTTATCCAGGTAACTTCAGGAGTTGTGACGTCGGGTGTAACTTCCCGGTTAACCCGTACTAGGAAAGGTGGATAGGATAGGTGTTAACCGAGGTCTGTTGCCATGGCAATTTGCGCTGCATCTCTAAACATGGTTAACTGAGTACAGATTACTCAGTGTTTAATGATGAGAACTAGGATATTAATACACACCGCTTCATAAAACATGTTTAGATTTCTTCCTGATTTGTTCCACTGCGGCTGCTATTAAGTTCAAGAACACAACAGCATTACGTTCAGACAGCGAGCCCTGCAGCCTCTGTGATTTTAGACAGGAAATCTTAATTAATGAACGGGACAGTTTCTTAGATGTAGCCCATCTGTAGTCTATATTTGAATTCTCCTGTGTTTTCACATATTTAGATTGACTATTTTACGTGTCCAAAAAATACGGAGCCAGGGTGGGGGTTAATAACCGAGGGAAAAAAAATCTTAGATGAAAGTGTGAAATTTACAAGAAGAAAAATCTGAAATTTCCTGAAATCAATGTCATAAAAAATCAAAAATCACTCTGTTTTCTTCTGAATACCCCCAATCCACGGCAAAGTCTCTAAAGTGCATGATAGTGATTGTGGGCTAAACTCACGAGTATTTCCTCACTGCTAAATCCAATTGCAAAGTTTAATAGAACTTTCCAGTGCATGCATACTACACAGCAGACGTGTGTGTGTGTGTGTGTGTGTGTGATGTTGCACCCCTGCAAAGTTAAGTTTCTCTCATAAATGTGTGATTTATAATGTCAGAGAATATTCAAGTTTTTTACTTGTAGATTTATCTTATTTTAAACTCCCTTCGTAGTACAGGCCACTGGTGTCCCTGTGGAGCAGTTTTTTAATGAGGGGATGCCCGATTAGTTTTTCTGACTCGCATGCAATACACATGCCTACCATCAGTCTCACCCTATTCCACTGATCTACAGGTGAAAGCAATGCGCCGACAAAGGCAGGGAAGAAGAAGACTGCTAGCATGTAAACATGGATGTGAACAATACAGGTTTCAAACTGTTTTATGAGGAAGGAAATATGTTCGATACATCTGTCACCTCAAGGATGAACACGTTTTGGGCAGTAAAACTTAAATTAAACAGAACTTTTGTTTGTTTACAAGAAAACTCCACAGGGCACCTTTAAATTATCCCTGACTGGTTCTCAGATGTAATGAATACATAGCATGTCGGTATGTTTTGTCTTTGCTAATTTGTACCCTAATCCTGAAGTGGGATTCATAAAGTGTGTGATTCAAATGTACTCATTTGTAACAGTGTTTGTTCATTGTCTACTCTCCATAAATGTAACAGGTACAGGGAAAATTGATAGGGCATCTTTTTGCCAGCTCAAACAGTAGCATCGCAACGTTTATTATGACATGTCAAAAGACAGAGCTTATGACAAGGTCAGACATTTTGCTCTTCAGATGAATGAAGCATCTGACGCCAACAAAGCCTCTCAATGAATAACATAGATCAGATACTTTAATAGCTAAGAATCTAAAATGAATTAAGAGAGACAACCATCAGACTTGCTTAGCCTCTTTCTGCTCTGATACTGTAAAAAGAATCTAACCTTAGGTGCTGTAATTGTCTTTAGTTGCCACCAGGTGTCAGTGCAAACTAATGAACTGTAAGAGATCACAGCAGTCTCATATAAGTTACACCAGTTTAGATACATTAAATGGTATCTCTCTTACACTTTTTTTTTCAGTTGGTTCAGAGTTTTTGGGTGCGCGTGTACTAATGTGACTTTTGATTTTCTTATCATGATAAACAGTGTTGTGAGTCTAATAGATATTGGTAAAAAACTTGATTTATGCTAGTTTAACTGAAAACTGAGGTTATTTGTTGGTAAATCAGTACTTTATTAGAGGGCTGGTAAAATTTGTTCACAGAACTTTTGTGACAAAGACAAGCCATCTTAGTGTAACACCTGTCTAATGTTGTCCTTAAATGTTGTCATGTTGCACTTTTAGTGGACGAATGTTACTTTAACAGGCACAGTTGTCCCTAAGGATTGCTGGCTGAGGCATAGAGCAAGAATATTTCAGTGAATTAAGGGTTTATGTCGACCACACCGGAGTTGTTGGAACAGTGACAAAGACAGTTTTGGTGAGTTTTATTTTTTTTATGTCCAGTGTGAACAAAGTGTATTTTACAGTGATCAGCCACTGCAAGGTAAAATTACTGTTTTTGAAAAGCCAGGACCGGAAAGTTAAATCTGACAACCACAACCACTTCTAGGATCATTCACCCATGCCCAAACTGCACAAAAATATTTGGCTCGAGGATAGACCTCTATGACCATCTGAAGACACGCGAGGACAGTCAGTTAGACCAGAGTGATTTTGTTGTGTGTGACATTTAGTGGCAGAGAATGCCACATACAGCTCCTTTTTAAGATAACTTATGTTACAAAGGTTACTCATTTGTATGGTCAGTGTTTTGTGACTAGTTGTGAACCAAATGTGTGGGCAAATGAAAGAGTTCGCAGTCTTGTGTTGGATGCAAAGTTAGCTTTTCAAAGAACCCAGAGAATATCCTGTGGGAGAAAAACATTACAGAGAAACTAAAAACTTGATCTCCCCATGGTGCCTGCATGCTGTAACCCTCAGATATTTTTTCACACTCGTCTCATTAATGTGATTGTTTTCAGCTGCTTGTCAACCTTCTTTTTTCATCTTTTCAAAGCATCATCAACCTTGCTCTGAATAATCTTTCTTTTCTTTTCCAACCAAAAAGATCAAATGTGGTAACGGGGGAAAAAGGAAACATGTTTGGAAAAGAGAATAGTCTGTGTTTAACTCTGACGCTTCATGTACATTTTATTTTAATCCAGCACAGTTCTTTGTTTTGTTTTTTTTAACTTTCAGTAGTAAATTGTACTGAATAGAAATGATGGACATTCAGTACAGCTGTATAAATATCCACTAACTGTACATTAACTGCACATCAGCTTGTGATCAAATGTATGCCGCTGAATGTTCAACATTATTTGCAGTTTTACTTAAATAAATTAACTGAGATTATGTGTAACATGTTCTAGTCTAGCGTAGTAAATAGCGGTCAGCACACTAAATAAACTAGATAATTATTAAAAACATGTCCTTTGCAAACATTTGGTAGAAGTGTAGTTTACTTTCATCGTATTTTGCTGTCAACTCTCAAAATCTCTTCTCATCACTCCAAGGCCGTGAGCGCGTGCGGCAGCTGGCAGAAAACACAGTCTATTTCCGCAAGAGGCTTCGAGAAATGGGCTTCATCATTTACGGCAACGAGGACTCGCCTGTCGTACCCATGATGCTCTACATGCCTGCCAAAATAGGGTGAGCCTCGAGCTTTGACTGGCTGCTGTTAGTAGACTTTAGAAGTATTTAAATCAATAGAGTGTGGTAGATAATATTTGGATTGGATATCAGATATTGATACTTTATGATTCTGACAATATCAGGGTTCATTTCTTTTTGTCTCAAACTTTAGTAAGATGACTATCTTTGTCTAAATCAATATTTTGAATACAGTATTTTTAATCTTTTAAAAGTATAATTTTATCGGTTTAATATATTTTGCTCAAAATTAATAAAAGTAAAAAAATATATTTAAAAAATAACAATCAGATCAAAACACTTTATTCATCATTTTCCCAGACTTTTTTTATTTAAAATCTTAACTTAAAGCCTACTTACTGGCTTTTTCCAGGGCTTTCAACCCCATTTCTTTCTGAGTAGATGTCGTTTGTTGCCCCTTGAGTAAAGTTGTTTTTTGGTTGTTTTTTTTACTGACTACACATACTCAACCTATCAGCAGTGCAACACTTTTCTTTTCAGGTCTCCGTTGAGCTGACCAGTTGTGTCATTGTCTTTATAGAACCCACGTTGTGTCTTTGAGTCATTCCGGTTTTGTCTTTGTGTTTATCCCCCCAGAGCGTTTGGCAGGGAGATGTTGAAGAGAAACATCGGGGTGGTGGTCGTGGGCTTCCCCGCTACACCCATCATCGAGTCCCGGGCACGCTTCTGCATCTCGGCCGCCCACACAAAACACATGCTCGACAGGGTAACTAACTGCCTTCGCCGCTCAGCGTCTTTTAGACAGAGGAGATCTCCTGGGGCAAACGACGAGATCTTCATTTGAGAACTTTTTATTTCCTAACTATCTATCTACCGTAAATTCCACCTCAACTGGACAATTGAAAAACGTGGTTTTCTTTAGACAGGATTAGAAAAAGATTTTATGGTCTGCATTATTAAAACCTGTTAAATCATGGCCACTAAAAATGCTTATAGGGACCACTGAGGGACGCCTCAAACCCGGCAGTTAACTCACACTGGTGAAACTATTCTCCAGCTCCTACACCCGCTTCATTTTCATAAGAAGTATTTTTAGACCGCAACACCTGTAGTTGCAAGTGTATTGATGTTGACTAGTCGTGCGTAGCCAGATCTCGCTGTGCTCTGCCTACACAGGAGGTCGGGCTGAAGCTGTAATTGTTCAGTGAGAAACACTTTGGGTTGTTAGAGTTAGTCAGAATTGTCAGTCCCAAGCCTTAAAGAACTAAGCTCACTGGTGCTTTTGCCAAATATACTTCCAGTGGGCTATGACTAATTACAAGAAACAAATCAAGCTTTTGTCAAGCCTTCAGCTAGTTTGCTGGATAATTGATGTTGAGTCCAGAAGGAGGAGAACGGTGTTAATGCCTACGTCTCATTGTTGGCAGGCTTATCTCAGTGAAACTGGCTGGTGCAGTTGCAGCAGATCTTTTGTTACACTCTTTAAAATGTGGGCCCTCCTGTTCCCAAGTTAGTGTAATGACCTTCAGATTTCGTGCAACTAAGCCTAAGCAAAGAGATCATAATGACATTAAAGGAATGAAGAGCAGTCCAATGGGTGGAAAAACAGTGTAATTTAAACTTGTGACCCCCTGCTTCTGTAGATGTCTTTGAGTCACTTTAGGAGCATTGAATCCCTCCCAGCCGTGTGTCTGGCTACGACAGAGGCCACTAAAACAGAAGAGTCTGTCACTCTGGGATTAGCAGGGAGGGTATCGGGGAAAACGTTAGCCGGATCACTCTGCAGGTTAACGTACAGTGTCTTCACAGCATATTCCCAGTGAATTTAGAGTTCAGACCTCCATTCAAACCGTTCTCTTTGCTCATTGTGTTGCTCTGCGTAAGTGCAGACTGTTCAGCTTTGATTTCAATTGGCAACGCGTCAAAAAGCCGCCCACTCCTCTCAACGAGGGCTCTCCTTCTACTATACTGAGCTTGCTGCAGACCTGCCTGTCACCGTCTGAAACCTCAGTCTTTCTCTCATTTAACCCTGAACATAGATCATTTGACACGTTGGGTGAAGCTTCTCTTAATTGGGTGTTTCTCATGGCTCAAGCTGGCCCTGATGCATACTGCGTCTCCAGCAAGCGCTGCTGTATCGGGGGCCTATTATCCAGTCTTGTTCTCCTTCTTGGCCTTCAAAAAAATTAAATAAAATAAAGCGAAGAGACAGGGAGTGGGAGTATTGTAGTGCTTTTATCTGTCATGATGCTAAAATCTCTTTTTGTTAGCCTTCCTCTCTGTATCTTCCTCTCGTGCTTTGATGTGTCGTGTCGATTTGCGTGTCTCTTTTATCTACTGGTGAGCTTTCGCAGTTTTGCCTTCTCATTCAAACACACCCACACACGTACACACACACACAAACCTAAATTCTTGTATTATTGCCCCTCCAGAGAACTTCACTGACCACATTGATTCCCTAACCCTGAAGCCTTAAGCCAATGTTAAATCACATTAATCTACACTGACATTTTCAAGAAGTGAAAACAGACCAAAAAGACTTTTTGGGTATCCTGTGGAAACAGTAGGACTGGCATACACGCAAGCAAAGTCAGTGGAAAGAGATTCACTAGTTATTAGGTCCACAAATTGATGTAAAAGGCACAGCAGGTTACAGCTGCACCAGTCAGTGTTTTTATCCTCAACCGTAGCAAACCTACAGAGAATGATCACCTGACTGTGCAGTTTCCCTTGGCGCTGTGGAGATTATTAGCATTTCTCAGCCTGTTGTTTTAGTTTTCCGGCCCACAGCCTCACTGTTTTGGTTCAGTCTCGCTGCTCTCATTAACCTTGTTTTCAGACGAAAGCTCTGAAAAACCAACTGCATGCTACCTTCCTAGCACCAGACACAGTTAGCGACTAGCTGTGAGGGGAGCGAACTCCCTAACATTTGTGAGGTGGCCAGAAACACATCTCCAAATCCCTCTCTGGTCCCTCTGCAGGTCACCTAAATAGGCAAGTTTTTGGTAACACGTTCGCCATGTCAACTTTCATTAGGTGCGTTTGACTTCTTGCGGCGCGGCGCTGACTTAACGTGATGCATGCTGGACTTCACATAACATGACATGCTAGTTAGAAATTTCAGAATCGGTTTATTTCAGGTATGTGTACACAGACGAGGAATTTGACTTAGGATTGTACATTGCCCACGATGTGCTTACTCATACAATGATACAATGATACAATAATAAAATCAGACACAGGCTACAGTATAGAGAACACCAATATACACACTATAAACAAGAACAAATTTTGTCTGACTTTTGCTGGTGCTGCAAAACGTCACCATGTCACATGACATTAAAACCTCGCGGGAGAAAAGCGGCTTTAGTCGCTGACTCCGGCTGCCCAAAATTGGAACCACCTTTTGCCTGATCTAACGGCATTTTTGTTTTTGAAAGATTTTTGCAAATGCTGTGAGATCGGTCATTGTTCTAAGCTCACAGTAAGCTCACGCAGGTAGAATGTGTCCGATGCGCCGTTTTTATTCCCCGCCCCTGCAGTTACCTGCAGCTCACATTAGACTATCAAGTCGGCGAAAGTCCGCCGCAGTCATCTCGAACGCACCAAACGTTGTGTTCACAGCTTGTTGCGCTGCCCCCAAGTGGACAAAATATAATTTAATGTAGCTTTATATTAAAACGGTCTATCATATTTCAGAAAGACATTTGCATGACACTTCAAAGTAAATTTTCAAGTTGCCTGAAACCTCCAATTGCATTTTTTTTGTACCTGCACTTCCATTAAAATCCAGCCAGGACTGGATAGTCATCCCTAAATTGTATTTTTGTTGTTGAACATATAACTTCTTGAAATTTAGAGATTTTTTATTACATTACTCAGAAATCATTTTAAGCACTTTTAAGACTGAATATCTTCTCTTTGGGTGAAGAGTGTTCAAGAATGAACAACTGCTGCTTTTTAGATGACGTATCTGTATGAACTCGTCGCCTCCTGTGCCCAAACCCACTGGTGACTTCACCTCACACATAGTAATGAAAAATTGGAAAGACTGGGTCCATCTGCAGCATAAACGTTAGTGGTGTTTTCGGTTTCAGCCAAAGCTTGTGATTTAATCTTACAAGACAGGTTTGTTTTCCATAAAAACCTTGCTCGGTGCAGTTTTAAATTTCCTCGAGCCACATATTGCCCTTCATGGTGACAGCTTTTTTATTATACAAATGTCTCCACAGGCGCTGAGTGCCATCAGTGAAGTAGGAGACCTTCTTCAGCTCAAGTATTCCCGACACAGAATACAGCCATCTTTGGCGCGGCCCTTTGACGATAATGTGTATGAGGACATTGACTGATGGACCACTCTTCTCCTGAAGTGGCGTGAACCTGAGCAGCCCCAGAAAATACAGAACTGGTCAAGATGGATCACAAGTCTTCCACAAGGACCAAGATGTGCGCAGGTGCTTCTTGTTACTCGCTTGCCATGATGTAACCCCCGCCAACAAAAGGAACACATTAAAAAAATAAAAAAAAAATCATGTAATTCCACTTTGCCTTACCTAAACATGCAGAACTTGTGATGAACACACATTGGAAAAAAACGCACCTCTGCTTTTTCCTTTTATTACCTTTTAGTTCATGATTTTGGGGCCAAGAATTTATTTTGTTTGTGTGTGTGTGTCTGCAGTTCTTGTAGCATTCGTCCTGTGCTTGTGTATGTGAAGTGGACAAACGTCAACTTTCCAAATGTTTCTGAAATGGTGAGCTGCTGGGATTTATTTTTTTCCTAATGTGGCTCTAAAGTGAACTTTAAGTGTCATTACTTTCAAACATCAATCTAAAGAACAAGACTTGGCCTTTTATCCAGTACCATTCAGATTAGTGATTGCCATACGCTGAAAGCACTGGATGTTGCATTGTTTGGACAGGGCCACGTGACTAAAATGAGATTTTATCACTGTCTGTCTGTTAGCAAGGCATCACACAAAGTGAAATGGATTTTAAGGATTTTGTAATTAATGATCTAGTTCTGGATTTTTGTTACCATTAGACCATTTTTGTTTCACCATTCCTGAACTGGGAGTGGGTACTCTTGCTAGAGGGCTTCTATTTGTCAAAGGTGGTTTTATATGTTGACGCAGGTATAACCTTTCAACATTTCTTTTTAGGAAACAATATTCGTCTAAAAAGCCCTGTTAATGACACCTAGAGACCGTATTGCTGCTACTTAACTTAACATTTTTGAACCAACAAATCTTCTGATCACATTACATTGCTCTCATTGTTCTTGACAGGCTAAAAATATAAAACCTCAGAGTTAAGTGTGCCACTTTTATCGCCAGTAGTGTTTGATGTAGCACTACAAAAAATGATGCCAAATATCAGGGGATGCTGAACTTCAGATAATTACCCTGATCAATCCCAATGACTTGTAAAGAAATAGTTTAACATTTTGGGGGAAATACTTCTGTGATAAATATGAAGCTACAGCCAGCAGGCACTTAGCTCCACTAGCCCGAGAGAGGTATCATTCTTCTCATCTAAATTTAAAACGAAGCCCGAAAAGCTTTCCTTTTAAAGCCGGGTCATTGGGGGTATCGGGTTAAACGTCTAATGCTTGCTATAGCAAGCTAATTTACTTAGCATAATTAGCATTCAAAAAAGCCATGTAAACAAGAAGGCTTGAATTACAGCTTGAGAACTTTATTCACTTGAGCTAACACCAGCTCTGGGTCAGTGCAACAGTGCCAAAATGGAAATGGATCGTAAGTACTAGTGAGCATTAGCCATGGTATTGTAATGTAAGAGTATGTTGGCCACACACAGAGGAAAAGTCCTGTTTTGAAAAAGTCCAACAGTCAGATTGTGGGGTTAATATTTTCATAAAAATCCCATCAAAATCATCAAGCGTGTCTGCAACCACTCCAAATGCAAGAAGAAAAACACTATTTTTAGTGTAATACTCAAATCGACAGCTATTTAGTCTTCCAAAGATTTACGTGCATCTTTTGCTTAGAAATGTAATTATCAATTTGGATAGTTTTGTTGAAAAAAATTCATCTGGATTATATCTTAAATTCCACTGGTCCAAACATGTGGAATATACTTTATTATGCTCCTTTTAAAGAAATTTTAGTATTTTTTTAGATTGCACCCATCCATAGTCAGTGGATAACTTAAAAAGTGGTATTAACTGATTAACAAAACTTAAGAAAGCAGTGTTGTAATTCAGACTGATAGTACTGCTGTTGGAAAGAAATGTCTTTTGAAGCTTAAATGGAGAAATTAATCCAGTTATCCGTTAATTTGGCTGGCCTCTTGTTCCCACAGCTATGTTACATGTCGCCATCACTGGCATCCTTCATAGATTTTACTTGACCAACTTAGTGTGTATTGTAGTTTAACGTATTAAAGATGACCTCAAAGATCAATTTTAACATGACTCTCAGACTGTAAGGCCAGAGTCATAATTGTTAAATTATCTGCTCAATATAAAGCCCAGGTTATTGGTAATAAATGCTGAAGTGCTGAATGCTGAAAATTTTTACAAATGTGATACTTCTGTCTCCAGGCCAGAACATCTAAACTATTTATACTAAACTAATCTGGATGTGATCTAGCGCTGGTTATAATATCTTTCATTTTCACCATATCTCTTAGGTGCTTATTAGTAATAACCCCATTGCTTTGTGTCTGATAAGGTTGTTTTAATGCCTTGTAAAAAAAGTGCTATCTTTGTGCTGTGACTCCAAGGTCTTTAATAACTTTATTCAGGGTGTGACTTGGTGTGTGTGGGGGGGGTGTCTGCGCGTGAGTGTGTGTGTGTGTGTGTGTGTGTGTGTGTGTGTGTGGGCGCATGCTCTTGCATGTTATGGGTATTAATGTGCGTGTTAATGCACTTTTACCTTGCTTTTTTCCCATCCACGTACGCAACTGTCCATTAAAGTGTTGGTTTGTCTTAACGTTGTGCAACGTGTAATGTATGCACACTGACAAATACTGTGTAACCACTCGTTTCTCATACTGATGCACGTACAGTAAGAATTAGTCATAGAAGCTGCTCTGCACAACAGCCAGTGATGCTCAATGATATACACTGTTCTGCTACACGTAACTGTTTTGAATGTTGCCATAAAAATCCACTTTATTCAGAAAGTTTAACTACCTGCCTAGGCTTCATGGAGGTTCTTAATTTTTCTTCCATTTTAATGTTTATCTGTTACTGTAAATGGGAGATGTTTGTTATTTAGTTTCCTCACTGTAGAAAAAGACCTGATTCTTGGAATTACAGATTGTCAATTAGCTAAAAGCTAGAGTTACAATATAACACATGTAGATTCAGAATGTCTTTCTACGTATTTCTAAGATTGCACACAGGAAAGTCATCAAATGATACTACAAAAAAAGGCATTTTAATATCAAAATATGATTATTTGAAACCCCAAGTTTTAATGATGCTGTTCTTAATATAAAGTGTGTGTATATATGCAGTATCTTCAGAACTACTGGTACATCTTTGGTCTTGAAAAAGAGATTCACAAACTCAGAAAAAACTTCATGCCTTTTTTTTTTTTAAGGTCTGTAAGTTTTGTTGGTGGTCTAAGATGGAATATGGTCCCAATATTTTGTACAGTCTATAGTGGTCCACTGAAAAGGAGCTATTCAGAATTTTTTTTTTTTTTTTTACCATAGAGTAACATGGGAACGATGGTTATCACTATTACTGGCAGCTTTTGCTCGAGTGTGCCAATAATAGAGACAGTCATTTCAGTGGTTGAGTACAAGTTAACACACATCAGAGATGGATATAGTGCCTTTGAAGCAAATGATTTTCTAAGAATTCTGATTATAGTTAAGTGTCATAACTTGATTGTTCATTTTTACAGCCTTATTTGACTTATTTTACTACTTTTTCTTAAACAGTACTTATGATTAGCACTGGATGTGTTCTCGGTGTTGACTAATTGCCATGCGATCATAGAAAATGCACTATTTAATATGTAAAGTGTCACCCATGTCAGTGGTATTAGTAGATCATTAAAACAATAAAAAACAAATTAAATTTTGTAAAGACTCATCTTTAACACACCTAGATAATCTGATAAACTACCTTATTTTATCAGTCCAATCAGGGCGTAGCAACCGTAACTGGGCAATGTACGCGTGTCAAGCTAGGTATTCTTTCACTTGTTGAAGCGGTGTGTATTGGTCTGTAGCAAGACCAATATAAAGAGCTTGGTGGGTGGTGTCTTTAGCCTTTCCAACACCAAAGGCACAAGAGCAAAAGTGTAAAGAATGAACGGTGTGTTTGCTGTAAATGTGAGCATGACAGGTTAAGCCTCTCACCACAAGCCCAACTCGTCCAAGTTGTTCTTGCTGAGTTACAAAGAGAAACTGATGCCTGCCTCTGCAGACAATTGGCTTTCTAGGAAGGAGGTACAGCATTACCAGCATCTTTGGCGTTACGGGGTTTCCCTATAGAGTTGTATTGAGGATTCTTAAAGTGGCGTGTCTCCTCTTAAAACATATCTGTCCTCTGCTTAGCCACATCTTCCACCTGTTGCTGTACAAGGGTGAGTCAGTACTCACAATTTGGCAGCATCCTCATCTAGATTCTTCTTCGTTTTACTTTTTTTGGCTACTTCTCCACACTCCCCTTCTTTCTTTTTTGCTTATCCATCTTGACAATTGACCAAGACAACTTCCTTCCACAGATGTTTGGCTCTGAGGCAAGAAAGAGAGAGGACAGAGGGGGAGGGCCGGCACTAAGAGATGTGATTGGTCCGGCCGAGTGTCATTGGGCTTTATATTGGCCTGTCATCTGCAAAAATGATAACCAGATTACCAGTCCAGCAGTGGTTGTCCTGCTGTCTGGTTTTGACCCTTGCCAGCCTCACCTTCCCATAAGCCTTTGCACCTCTTTTTGTTAATAAAATCACTAAACTGCATCAAATCTGCATTTGAGTCCTATCCCCCAATTTCCTTTGACCCACTAAACAGCAATGACAAAAATGTTTTTTTGCATGATCATCAGGCATCTGCAGTGGTTGCTGCTTGTTTGTGCTGGCTTGGCTCCATGCAGCCTCCACATCTGTTGGCCAGATTTGAGGAACTGATAACATGGCTGCAAAAGTTAGTTTTTGATTTTGTTTAATCTTTTTGCAGTCACTCAAAGTACAGTCGAAAACAATAAAAAGTCCCTCCCCCTTTGAATGGTTACATAACTGCTTTTTCTCGCAGCAGTATTTAAACCTCAAGTTCTCTCCCCCTCACTCTCCTGCAGCTTGATCTTTTTCAACTCCTCATTTTTTGACACTCATCTTTCCTGCAAAAATGGCCACAGCTGGTAAGGTAGGTACATCCAGGAGTGCTCATACTGTATGTTACAACTTTAATGGTTTAGTGAGTGTTTCAGATTCTGGTATAAGTATAGTCAAATATAGTAGGTAGTAAAATGAAACACCAGAAAGACTATGCAACAACCCCTATATTAATATATTTTAGTGTTCATAATGTTTTCATGTTTTCTGATAATGTCTGGTTATCCAGTGGTTAAAGCGTGGATGGGTGTAATAGACCAAGGGGATACCTGACAATGCGTTCTAGTGTTCTCATGTGCAGTGTTTTACTGTAATTCTCATTACACGTGTTTATTTCACTTGTACATACTTGCAATTGTTATTTTTACTGCAATCAAAATGTATAATAATATAAAACCTGCAAATCTCTTTCTGATCCGCCTGCCTCAGTGAAATATTGCATGTCTTTTTTTGACTTGGCACACCGTCTGAAACTATCCAGACAGTTTTGTGCAACTATGGACATTGGCAAAGATTTGGGGTTCGCAGGCCAAAAAACAGAATGGTGGAAGAATTCATTTTATTTCCACAGTGCACAAAAAAATTCAAGGCAAACTACTTAATTCATCAAGACTGACAAGTGATATACTCAGCACTTTACTCAGTCACAGTAAATTTCCTACATTAAATGATACCGTTCTAATAATGTATTTGCCAACTAACTTGTGTGCACTTTAAACCATTGATTATCATGTGATGTTTGCTTATTCAGGAGCAGCCGTATCAGAGAAATGGAAACCTTTGTGCTCTACTGTTAACATGTTATTAGAAATGTGCAGGGAATATGTGAAGCCCATTTTTTTTAAGGTTTACTTTGATAAACAATTGACTGGTGGCGTTTATGCCAATTTGATGCCTCTAGATGAGTGTTTGCCTTGAAACCATAGCACAAAGGATAGCAACATTTTATCCCATGCTCAACTAGGTACAGGAAAATGCAACGAAATTCTTGAAAGCTCTCAACTGGTCATTGGCCAGATAAATGTAAATGTGCTTGGAATTATACATGCTACTTGAGCGGGTGCTTGAAGGATTACAGGAAACTGTCATGGCACCTTTCCTGAAACCCATCCTAGTATATTTAAATTTTAATTAGTAATAATTTCATGTGGTGTCACCGCCCACTAGGTCATCAAGTGCAAGGCAGCAGTGGCCTGGGAGCCCAACAAGCCTCTGGTGATTGAGGAGATTGAGGTAGCTCCGCCCCAGGCCAACGAGGTCCGCATCAAGGTGAGAGATGTCCACTTTAAAGACTTACACACGAGGGTACGCAGAGATGTCTTACTGCACATTTGAGTAAAGGCCAGTGAATGGTTGTAGGTTGTAGTATATTAGGACTTCCCTGACCAGAAATCCTATGCAGTGACATCATCACATTGTCTTCTTCTGGATGTGCAGTTGTCCAAGTAAGTAATGCAAATGCAGCTTTAAAGAAAGCATGTAGTGAACTAATACAGTTATGAACATTAATACTTATGGACTTACGGAAATATTACTATCAGCACCAGCCAAGTTTTAAAGTTCTTGGCAAACTTGGGAATAGTAAAGTTGTAATTGATACATGTATTAATCAGTCTCAATATCTGAAGTGGAATTCTCAAATCAGGGATTCAGGCTCTGGAAAGTAGTCCAAACAAAAACTAAGTGATCAGATGAATATTTATTTATTTATTCCAAGACTACAGTAAATACAAATTAATAAATTTTTGAAAAATGGTTATATGAACAACAGTAACAACTAATGGCAGTTTGAAAAATGGCAAAAAACAGGGTTGAACTGATGATTATTTGGCTAAAATGAAAAGAGTGGCTTTCACAGAATAACAGGAAACGGATAATTTTTTAAGATTTGTCCATGATATAATTTCATGATATAATTATTTTGAAATCTGACCACAGAAATTTAACAGACGAGATGGCGGAAGTACAAAAAGGATTTCAAAATAAGATACTCAAAACATCAGCAGTAAATGCGAGAAATTGAAACATAAAACTTCAAAGATAGATAAATTGAATAAGAAGAAACTAGATCATTTAAGGGGTCGCGAGAACGTGTGTTCTCAGGCATCACTTTAGCTCAAGAGCACTCCAAAAGAAGAGTTTCAAAAAGAGGAGTTTTAAAAGAAGTGAGTGATTGATAAACTCCTTGGGGTTCAGCTTCTGCCCACTCTGGTTACATTTCTTTGTCTCTGTCTTATCTGCAGTTACAAAATTTGGTTTAAAATGTCTACATTACACGCATGTGACTAAATCTCCTTTCACAATAGTCAAACACACTAATTAACATGGCAGTTAGACTGTATATTCAGATGATTTCAAAACAATACCAAATTTAAATAAGGAGAAATATTTCATTAATTTAAATATTCTTAAACTATAACAGTTCTACATAATAGTATGCAATCAAACCATAATTCCATATGATAAAAGCTTAAACAGGTTAATAGAAAACACAGATTAAAGTCTAAACTTCAAAATAGTAACAAAATAAACTACTAGGAACATTTTGATCATAAAGGAATTTCCAGCACCTGACATCCCTGACTACTCTTGGGGTCAAATATAAATTCTAATACTGTTAATAAAGGAAATGAAGAAAGAATATAAATTTTTAAAGTAAAGCATGGTTAACTTCAAATGTTATAATGCAAGAATTTAATTTATTAACTTCAGATGTTATTTAGCTTACATGAGAAGTTTCAGCTGAGTCACTTTGGTTCATGCTTTGAATTGCCAACATTCATACCCCCCACCCACACCCACACCCACACCCCCCCACTGGCTGGTTGAAGGTTAGCTTCGGGTCAGGCAGGGTTCTCTGTGTTTTGGGTTGAGAAACTCACATTCTTGATAAATATAATCATTTGGGATATCATCATTCCTCTGGTCACTACAAGCACAATACCCAATTGTTCAAAGGTCAGTGTTTTCATTGTGTGGTCGTTGTCTTCGCTGCAGATTGTCGCAACTGGGGTGTGCCACACAGACCTGTATCATCTGTTTGAGGGTATGCATAAAGATGGCTTCCCTGCAGTCCTCGGCCACGAGGGAGCCGGCATCGTAGAGAGTGTCGGGAGTGGAGTCACTGAATTTCAGCCAGGTCAGTTAAAGCTTACAACGTCAACAGTTTAAATTGTCTAACAGCTCATTTTTCTTTCCCTGTTAGACTTTGTCGCGGCAATGTTAGCACTGGATGGAGCGGGTGATATTTGTGCCATTCAGCCCAACAAACCTGTTGATTGTTTTGTTGTTGTGTAAGCAGGCCTACAATTTATTTGACATGGAAACATTGTTTTTGGATTTTCAGGAGACAAGGTGATCCCTCTCTTCATCTCCCAGTGTAGAGAATGTCGCTTCTGTAAGAGTCCTAAGACCAACCAATGTGAAAAAGGATGGTGAGGTCATCTTTTTCTTTACATCTCCTAATTTCATTCATCCAGGATGTGTTCCTAAGGTTATAAATACATTTGATGGTCTATGTTTCTACGTATGTCATAGTGCTCATCATGTCTGTGGAGCAGCTTCAGGTGGTGTCTGACCTGGACATTGTTTGGAATTTAGTTTTTTTTATCCTTTCACTGCAAAAATAGTAGTCTCCGGCTGTATTTTCATTTTAATGATTTGATCTGTTCAGGGCTGCTGATCGTCACGATGTGATGGCATCAGTTGACTCCAGGTTCACCTGTAAGGGGAAGAAAGTGCTGCAG